ATGACTGGCTCCTACCTTATTAGGGTCCACTGGATTACCACTTATATGTACAACTGGACCTGGGTGAGACTTACATTTTCTATAAATGAGAATAACAAAAAAACAATCAGGTAAATTCATAAAATGACCCCTCTTACACGTTTTTAATAAAGTTAAAATGTTAAATTAGTTAATCTATTTGTTTCTTTCTTTGTTCCATACACTAAGAAATCCTTGAAGCATAGAACATCCCGTCGACACTGCTGAATCACACATTCACAACTCTCAACTGTTAAACAATTCTTCCTTGCCAACTCCTTCAGAAAAGGTATAAAGAATAGTAGGGGGAATATCCATGCCGATGTTAGGGTGTATAAGGGTAGAAAGGGTAGTTTAGGTTCTTACAACCAGCCAATAAACATAATGAAACAAAACTATTCAAATATACCAGAAAAGTTTGTATGAGAGCGATCTTCACAGTTATTAATACTACTTTTAAAACAATAGTGAAAATAAGGCCTGAAAAAATTTCAGGCCTGTAAGGGATTTGAACCACTGATCTCTGCTCTACCAGTGCAATGCTCTACCAACTAAGCTAACAAGCCAACTGGGAGCTGGTCATTGTGTCGGTTCACAATAAACCCGTGAAGTGATGATAACATAAATGTGTTTGAAAAACTTGAAATTACTTTATAGCCAACTCATAAAACTATGTAATGTGATTTTTATTCAAAATGCTGTTGTTTCTGTATTTTTTTTTTAAGTATAACAGTACTCACATTTCTATTACTTTATTCCAATTTATTGTGTATCCTGATAGCTCAAAACTCTCAATATTTACAACATGAACATTTCCTTTTTCTGTACCAACATACAGCCACTTTGAAGAAAATGGAAGGTGCATGCAAGTTAATCTGAACACGAAAGAAATGAGAAACAACACAATTAGCATCTGTTCAATAATGACAACACTGGATATTTTGGACTTGAACATTTTGGAAGGGTCACACTTTATCTGAACTTAGGTATGCGGCGGCCAGATTTCCATGCTTCAGATTCAGGTTCAATCCTTTAGCTCTCATAAGTGACCAAGTTAAAATTTCCCCTTACCATATCAATACAATATTCAGTAGAAAAGTAATAAGAATAAATATATCTTATTAGATGTTTTGTTGTGTAGTATCACTGAGTATTTTTACAAGTTGTGCCATATATACAAATAACGAGTAAAAATACTCAGGGATATTACAAAACAAAATGTCTAATAAGTTACTTATTATCCAACATGCCAAACTGTTATTTCAGCTGGCGAATTTCTTTGCGGATATTTACAGGGAGTGTGTGACAGAAGTATGCAAAGCAGAACAGAATTGGTGCATTGTCGTGTTGCTGTCTCTATTTTCTTAAATAAATGAAGAAATTTCCTGGTTGTCTAACTGTTTTTCTTCGTTCAATTCATCTAATAAACCTGGATCCAAATTTGCCAGCCATTCCGACTCTTTGTCGTCGGAAATATGATTGAAATTGTCTGCCATTTTTGTTTTCGTACCTTCAATCCAATTCTATGCTTACGTGATGCAAGAAAACCTGTCAAACCGGTTCTCTAGAGTACAAATACCGCCTGATATTTGTACACATCTATGGCATTATTTGTACTCTACAGAGTGTAGTTGGATAATAAAGATGACTATCAATTAGGGATTAGTGAATTCAATACCAAAATCTCAGAACTAACATCAAAGGAATTTTATGACAGAAAATAAGAATAATTAGACCATTTAAAAAACCAAGACAACAAGGGCATTCCACTTAACATAATTACATACTTTGCCTCAAAAATCTAAATACAGTGTATATGTTGTAGTTCAATTTTATACTTGGTTCAAATTTTATTTTTCTTTGTTCTCTGTCATGTTAATGTATGATAATGAATTTGAAACAAAGGAAAATAAAATTTGACCAAAGGATAAAATTTAACTACAACATATATACCCAATTTTCTTCAAACATCTGGAACCCCATGATTGTACAGTATATGCCATGCAAACTTATCAATTTATCAGCAGCTCCAAAGGCACAACAGGAATCTAAAATAATGTCCCTGCATGGTATCTACACCCAACCCTTGATTAAACTCTTGTCTCTTTAAAGCTAATATGATTAAATAAACATGTACAAAGTACATGACAAAGTTTGAATACTGTCTTTCTATGCAAAAAAAAAAAAGGACCAAGAAATCATCTTCTCCTTCTGTAGTATCATGCAATTACATGATACTACAAAATATTTATACTTACTTCTCACGATTAAACCGCAAGGATTGCACAAGGGCAGGTTGGGCTTGTCGCAAATTCCACAAATGAATGTAGTCATCTTCACAAAGACTTATCAAAGCTCCCTTAAAAAAATAGAATGTTAAATCAAAACACAAATAACAGAAGTTTTTATAAATGAAATTAGATCTAGATGGTACAAATATATGGACTCAAATTTGGGGTCCACCTAGATTCCCATACTTATCATAGTTATTTAACCCTCTTACTCCAAAGATCACATAAGTAACTCTCCTTACCATCTGTCATACATATCCTATGCAGTTAGTTCAGAGAATTTGGTATTGGATCAACTAATAATCTCCTAATTGATATTTTTCTTTATTCTCATCTCTTTTCTACTTGATATTATAAAGAGAAATTCTGTCTTGGTCACTCATGGAAGCTGAAGGGTTAAAAATTAACATTTGAGAGAAGTGAGTGAAACGTAGCTTCTCCCAACATTTTAATTAAATAGTCAGGACAAAAGACAGTTGATGGGAATAAACAAACTTTCCTATTAATGATTTTAAAGGAGTGTAAGGTTGAAATACAATTTGTATGGCTTAAGCATAAGGGTTGAAATAGGACCAAACAAGATTACTACAAAATTCATAAAACTAACTTAGAATGCTGAGCAATAATGCATGCATGCATGCATGACGATACCTTTGAGTAAGAGATACATTATCTTACATAACTGTTTGAAGAATATATGCAAGAGCATACTTGCAGGGTAAGTCTGACAGTGTGTCACAAATAAACAAGAAGAACAAATGCTAATCACCTCATTTATAAGGAATATAAGTTCTATGACAGCGGCACTGCTGTCATGTTGAACGTGACATTCCACACCAGCTTGTCCCAATCTAATTCAAAGACAGTCAAGGACTAAAGATGTGCCTTTGGCCTCAGTTTTGATAGTGTCTGTCGGCTAGACCATAAAGTATGAGGCAAGCAAGCCAACAAAAATAAACGAGAAACGTTTCCAAACTAATACTCAAGGCGCGAATCGATTATTTGTAAGTTCATCCTGAAAAAATAGTCTGTGTTTGATGAAAGAAAATTATCGCACATAAGCATTTAAGAAGTTATACCTTGCCTCAATAAAAAGCTATCGAGGAAAAATAATCATTCACTATAATTATGGTGACGTGCAACATTCAAAATGGCCACAGAAACGAAAACTTATATCCCGCTAGTAGTTGTCGCAGAAGTTAACAACATGTTTAGAATATAACGAGAAACAAATAAACCAAAACACAAACTTGTAAACTTGTTCTTTACCCATTGACTGTACATGTACGCATATGGAGTCTTGACAATAGAAATTTAGAGAAAGCGCTTTTAGTAAACTTGCTATATATTCCAGGATGTACAAACCCTTAAACCTCACAAGTTCAACTGAAAGAACTTACGTTAGCAAATTAATTAAGTCTAGCTAGCAAACGTCATGCAAATAAATTACAGTGTACAAGGATACATGCGAAGAGAGCCATCGTAAGCTCCAAGGGCGAGAATACTCTGAACAGGATCGTATGCAATACAAGTTGGTTGATACGGAAAGCCATAACGAGAAGTCTGCGAAGACAAAAATAAAACACAAAGATGTTTTAAATTGGTCGACCTCGGCGTTTGTGCTCGATTGCTCATTTACAACTATCGTGATCAATGTTAGTAATACAAACCTTTGTAAAAACAAAGTCGTCAGCCTTCAAACGATCCGTGATTACCGGCTCTTCCTTGCCAATGATGTTACCCATTCTCCCCCCATGCCCAGATCGAACTACCTTGGTTAATCTTTTCATGAATGTCCTATTTCCCTCAGCCATCCATTTTCATTAATAGTTTCTTCCAATCCACTTCATTGAAATAACATACACAACTGACGCAAACGCTTCTGGGAGATATGTAAATACAGAACCCGGATGGCAATATGGAAGTTACGTTGAGACGAGTTATACTCAATTGTGAAATGTGGATAAATAAATTACTTACTTACTTACTTACTAAGTGAGGACTGCAAGGCGTACAAACTTTTATTGTTATGCCCCTGGAGAAGATCGTGCAGAATGCTTATTTTCCTACTTTTTCCCACTGTTTTCTTCCCTCCTATCTGAAAGGAATGACGTAAGCGTTAGAAATTAAAGGATTTTTCTTTTCCTAAGAGCCAGTCGTCTCAGAACCAACAATAATTCCCCAGAAAAAAAATTGTTTGGATCTCTCCGCAGTCTGCTGTCGTACGCCTCTCCTGTTATTGCGTTTTTTGATCATGGGCATCAATGCTTCAGGAATTTCCATTCCACTGTCCCTGTTGATGTTATTAGGGTTAATTCTTAAGTAAATATTAGCCTCTTTAATCCTGCGAGTGTACCAGTGAGGATAACGATCATTCCAAAGCGGTTGGTGTGGGTGTGCTCTGGGTACGGGTTAGTCGGATGTCTCGGTGGTGCTCCTTTATCCTGTCTTACATTGGTTTTCCAGTCTCGCCGACATAAGCTTTGCTGCATTCACAGGGAATCCTGTAAACTACACCGTCTTGTTTAGCCGGATCCCCAGCGTCTTTCGCTCTTACCAGCTCTGACCTGTGTAGTACATGTAGTTCCCACTTGAAGACAGCGAGTACGCCTTGTTGTTCGAGGATCAAAACGCACCAATCACAGCTGTGGAATACCACCCAATCGCAGCGGAGCGTCCTGCTTTATAAGAAGACCCGAAACCAGTCTACCTTATCTTCTGGAGATGGTTAGCAGTAGGCATAGCAGTAGGCAGTCAAGATGTCGCGATTCACGTCATAAGTGACCACATCGTGAGGCAAACGATTATTAAAGACAGATTATTGAAAGTAATGGAAGGAAGAGTGTCTCCCGACTGAGAAATTAGAGGAATACACGACTGTAGCCACGTAAATAATCAGACGCCAAGGAAACGTGTGAGAATTATAAGAACAGAGGCCAAAACAAGAACTTCAAGGGAGCTATGATCGACAGGTAGCTGTAGCTTATTCTCTACAGTGAAAGCTATATAAGAAAATTGAAACAATTTTTTTCGCCAAAATGATTCAGTTGTGGGCCAACTTTGAGAAAAAATTACTGTTAAATGGAATCTGAGTGACATGTCACCGACTAATGAAATTCGCGCAGAATTGGGTACAGTGGAGGAGGTTTGTGGAGTGAACAGCTGCAGTGAGCTACGTAAATATATGACCGATGAAGCTGAAATTTTTCGACGAACCGCAAAACTGAACGCACTAGCGCTTGTTCTAAGTACATCGGATTGTATAGTCATGTTTGACTTCATTCTGGTAGAAAAACACTCCATGGAATACGGAAGAGGCCGAAGGATGGAGGTAAGACCTATTTTTTCTTACATCGAAGCCTGCAGTATATAAAACGTGCTGCGTTTTACCACACGCTGTAATGGAAAAGAAAGGGCAATCCCTGTAGATTATTTCATAAATGTTCATCTTAATCTGATAGTTTGTAACTAGTCTGCAATAATATACTAAGGGGCTATTGAGTGACTTTCGTGTGAATAGTAATGCCAGCTTATTTTATTCTTTACCCCCCTGTTTGGTGTCGAAAAGAGGTTTCAAACCATCTGTATTTAAAGTATAGCAAACTCCGAGTACGAAATGCGATGATGAACGTAGTCGCAACTGTGAGCCTCATGGGTCAGATTAAAGAAAAGTTTCGAAGAATCACAGACCTCAAAACAGTAATGAAATACAATAAACACGCAATCTCAAAAAAATTCTCTTCCAGTGTCGGTGCACTGAAGCGAATTTGACCTTTTGTCTCAATGCACACCGCTATTAAAATATACGAAGGTCTTATCAAACAACATTTTGATTACTGCAGTGTTGTTTTGGATGGCTTGTCCCAACAGCTGAGTGAGAAACTACAAAAACTACAAAATCGCGCTGCCAGAGTAATTACTAAATCAAGTTATAATACGAACTCTAGCTATCTCTTCAACTCTCTCGGCTGGGATAACTTATCAGTAAGGAGGACGAAGCAAACGGTAAATTGAATGTATAAATGTGTTAATAAGCTCGCCCCAAATTATCTTTGTAACATGTTCACTCCGAGAACGTTGTCTTTTGATCTTCGTGGCGCAAGCCAAAAATTGTACTTGCCGAAACCAAGAACTGACTTCCTGAAGTCAGTTATAGCAGAGCTTCTCTTTGGAACGATCTTCCTAAGGAGGATATTCGCACAACAAAATCTCTACGCAGCTTCAAGAGAAGAATTGTTAAATGGCTCTTTGTATTGGGCTCCCACACGGCAAATATGTAAACAAGTTAATAGAAAATTTTTACTTTAGATGAATTCCTTCTTTGTTTTCTATTGCCATATCATGATGTTTTTACCGTGTTTTAAATATAGATTTCATTCATTCATTCATTCATTCATTCATTCAAGGCATCTTATTGGAAAAAAACCGGTTGGCATTGCATGCTGCGATACTTCATTGAGTCGCCATTAATTACGATAAGAATTTACAGAGAAGGCCGATCGTTAGAAACTCGTGTAAACTTTTCCCTCTTCTTTGTCAGCAACCCCTCAAACATCGGACCTTAGGAAAAGTGTACGCAAAGTAAAGGGTTCATGTGTAGTAGCCATGTTTCTCTGCAAGGGAGAGCGCGTCACGGTCCTTCCCCAGTGTCATTGCCAGATTAGCGAAGTGATTTCCTTAACGAATCTCGTTGTAAAACATGTAAAACTAAAAGCTGAAACTCTGGAAAGTACGATAATTGAAAGCTATGGCGAGGAACCAGCTAAAAGGACTGAGTGTTAGTCGAACGGGAGAGGGAAGATAAAAATGCAAAACTCTTGCTCGTTAAGTGTCACCATTACAATCCGCAATCGACGGTTGCCGTTGGAAAAATGGTAGAACGAGTTAACAAATGCTTTGTTTGATCGATTCATACATCCAGCAGATATAGAGCCATCTGTTGTTGATGTCCTTTTTTTTTTTTCGTTAGTCACGATAATCTTGAAACTTCACCTGAACACTTTTAAGTGTTTGTTATTTACTGCCTAGCATGGAGTTTTAAAAAACTCAATACCAAGCAAAGCAGTTAAAATGGAGGAGTCCATAACTCCTCATAATCGGTATGAAATGCTTCAGTGCGCGTGATGAAGACTTATTAGTCTTTATTGTCCAGACTTTTCACAGTAGTCTCGAGGGTTCACTTACTTTATAGTCTTCTACTTCTAACTTACGTTGAAAAAGTTATTTTGCAAGAAGGATGTTCAAAAGAGTAAAAACGTAGAACAATACATTGTCATCCGTCACAAAAAAAGCTTTACAAAACTGAAACCGAAGTCCTGTTGTTGAATAGCGGCTCGAACAAAAAGCAGATGAGTTTTGTCATCCTGCCAAAATTTCACATTTTACAGGTATGTCTGCCATTCTGAAAAGGAAATAATCTGACCCTGATTGTGTGCAGGTTGGCATGGATAATGCTTTCTACTGGATAAATCCCTATCCTCTGGAGGGCAATTTATTTCAGTCTGGAATAGTGCCGTCCGCCCTTTGAATAAGGATCTTCAAAAGGGTAAAAACGTAGAATAATACATTGTCATCCGTCAATCACAAGGAAGTTTTACAATGCTGAAACCGAAGTCTTGTTGTTGAATAGCGGTTCGAACATAAAGCAAATTAGTTTTTTCATCGTGCCAAAAATACACATTTTACTGGTATGGTTTGCGTCAGTTTAGAAATGACAATGCAAACTTTATCAAGTGGCTAAAGGACAGGGATGATTCGGAGAGAAACAAAAATGTTGATTGCAACTTAATATGTGGAATATCTGTCGCGAGCCAAGTAAGGATTGTTTATTAACATGTTAATGAGCAATATACAATGCGCTACCTTTCCTTTTCCTACACCCATCGAGTCCAAAGACTATAAGTCGTTCAAGCAGCTAAACCTTTCGGCACGCATCTCATATTTTTTTAATAGGTACATATCAGCCCGTCTTGTTGTTGAATAGCGTCTCGAACATAAAGCAAATTATTTTCAGTCATCATGCCAAAAATACACATATTACTGGTATGGTTTGCGTCAGTTTAGAAATGACAATGCAAACTTTATCAAGTGGCTAAAGGATCAACAGGGATGATTCAGAGACAAACAAAAATGTTGGTTGCGATTTAATATGTGGAATATCTGTCGCGCGTAAGGATTGTTTATTAACAATGCGCTACCTTTCCTTTTCCTACACCCATCGAGTCGAAAGACTATAAGTCGTTCAAGCAGCTAAACCTTTCGGCACACATCTCATTTTTTCTAATAGGTACATATCACCATAAACATGGATGACAACGGGCAACTGATTTGGATTTTGCGTTAAACTGCACAATACATATCTCAGTCATTATGAATCAAACGTGTATCCAGTTCTATTTTTCCTCTGTTTGCACCTTATCACAGTGCAAAATTCTTATTAAATCGATGCTTTAAAAGACTTATCGCAACGTCAACTTAGAAAGCGATCTTCAAGAGAATGTTTGTTTTAAATCTATATGTTGAACTGAAATTCTAACCTTCCGACCGAAGAGAGAGAAAACTTTCTTCACCCAGCAACAAGAAGATATACTAGATAAATGGTACACCCAGCTCTTGTTCGATTGCTAGTAAAAGTTTCATTTTTAAAAAAGGAAAAACAGCTGGTTCGCATGGCAAATCTTGTCCCGCCTGACTGAGCTCCTGATTGTATGTGGTTGTTCCATTGAATGATTCAGCCAGCATCAGAGAAATTTTCAATACACAATTTATTACATACCCCGGGGGATTAAATATTCTACTACGGGTTGAGTGTGGAGTTCACTGATGACGGAATGGGTTTATTAAGAATTTTTGTGACTATGGTTTAATTGAGTTCGAATTGTAAACGTTCAGCCCTTCAAGGTTGCCGTGATCATGAGCGCTAAAACCGTGGTCTTTTCCCCAATTTGACTGGAGGAATCTAATACACAGATTTAGGCAAGCTAAATATCAGAGCTGCTGATGTTTTTACCTTGCAGGGCTGATCAGTAAAGGTTAGCCCTATTAGACAGGGCTCACCCTTGAATGAGTCATTCTAAAAGCTCATCGTGTTGCAAAGTTGCAACACAAAAAGGAGACATTATGTAACTGATAAATGAAACTGAAAAGGTTTCACTTTGTTTGAATTCCTCACAAAGAAACTGTCGAACTCTACTGGGTGGATGCGAATATTTGCATTGTGATAAACACTTTTCACATGTGAGCGGTTGGGGTAGCCAAACAGGTAAGTCTTTCTTAATCGACAAGAACATTTAGTTTTCAGATCTATATTGCAATTACATCAGGAATACTGTAGACCTTCATAGGCGTAATTGGCGAGGAAAATTGTTACCATGCTATTTAAAACATAACCACCATAAACTATATATCATTGGATAGGTTACGAAATGTGCTTTCCATAAATAAATTGTTTCGTTTTAGCTTGATGAAATTGTAAAGCAATAAAGGTGCAACGAGTCGAAACGGACGCTGTTTCTTCGAGCTAATTAATCGGGTCTCAAATCTACCCGCACAAGGAAAACCTATGCACAAAGTCTAGGGATTGATCTTAAAAATTGTGTGGGGCTTTTTTAATATTCACATCGGTTACTTTGCAATCCTTCTGTCAAGTTTAGTTAATAAAATTTTACCGATACGCGTAACTACAACTTCGCAACGATGTCTATTTTGTCATCCCGTTTCCCGTATCATTTAATTCACCGCTTCTTCCAATAAACGTTCTGATTGAATTACTCAACGCACTTCGATAGTCAGTTCAAGCTCCTGGGGTCAAATTTCCCTAAACCAAATCCATCCATGGCTTTGTCCTGACTCAATTGTGAGCCAACTTTGAAAAAAAAACTACTATTCAATGGTAAAAAGTCGCCGTCTAATGTCATTCGCGCAGAATTGGGTACAGGGGAAGAGGTTTGGTTTAGTTTGGAACTGAAGCTGTGCCTACCAGAGGAAAAGAAAGTTCAGACAGTGAGGTAGGTAAATACATGACCGGTGAAACTGAGATTTTTCACCGCAAAGCTGAACGAACTAGCGCTTGTTGTTGCTTGGTATTTACAGCCTATAACATTGTCCAGGTACATCGGATTGTATGGTCATCTCGGATTCTATTCTGGAAGTAACACACTTCATGATTCGGTGTGCAATGCTTGCACGAGATGAAGACTTCCAGATTATTAGTCTTAACTGTCCAGAGACTCTTTGAGATCACAGTAGTCTCGAGGGTTCAGTTACTTTGTAGTCATCCACTTCTCACTTACGTTGAAAAGTTTATTTTGTAAGAAGGATCTTCAAAAGAGTAAAAACTTAGACTGCATTTTCATCAATCACAAGGACGCTTTACAAAATCTTGTTATTGAATAGCGGCTCTAACAGAAATAGTTTTGTAATCCTGCCAAAAATACGCATTTTATTGGTATGTATGCGATTCTGAAAAGCAAATAATCGGACCCTGATTATTTGAAGGTTGGCAGAGATAATGCTGTCTACAGGATAAATCTCTTTCCTCTGGATAGCAATTTATCTCGTGAATAGCGCCGTCCGCCCTTTGAATACTAACTGCGCCTTGACTAGAACGAAAATGTATTAAATAAACGATGAAAACAATGAGGAGCATTGCTATGCGTCAGTTTAGCAATGACAAAGCAAACTTTGTTGAGTGGTTAAAGGACAGGAATAATTCGGAGAGAAACAAATATGTTGCTTGCGACTAAATATGTTGAATATTTGTCGTGAGTAAGGATTGCGAAACATCTTAAAGAATAATACGTTACCTTTCCTTTTCCTACACCCATCGAGTCGAAAGTCGTTCAAGCAGCTTAATCTTTGGGCGCACATTTCTTCATTTTTTTTATAGGTACACATTATCATAAAACATGGATGCGGGCAACTGATTTGCATTTTGCGTTATTCTGCACAATACATGTAGATATTTTATTATCAATTTGACCGTAGGCAGTAGTTTATCCAGTTCCATTCCACTTCTGTTTTTACCTAATCACATGCAAAATGCTGTGAAAGATTTATCGTAGCGTCAACTAAGTAAGTGATCTTCAAGAGAATGTTTGTTTCCAAATCTATATGTTGAACTGTAATTCTAACCTTCGGAAGAGAAAGAAAACTTTCTCCACTCAGCAACAAGAGGTATCTTAATGGTTAGTAGATATACTAGATAAATGGTATACCCAGCTCTTGTTCGACTGCTAGTGAAAGTTTCATTTTTAAAATAGTATAAACAGCCGGTTCGCATCGCAAATCTTGTCCCGCCTGACTGAGCTTCTGCTTGTATGTGGCTGTTCCATTGATCCAGCCAGTATCAGAGAGATTTTAAATACACAACCGTGGCCTTTTCTCCCTACTTTGACGGATGAAATGGAATACACAGATTTAGGCAAGCTAAATATCAGAGCTTCTGATGTTTTTACCTTGCAGGGCTGATCAGTAAAAGTTAGCCTTATTAGACAGGACCCACCCTTGCATAGGTCATTCTAAAACCTCATCGTGTCGCGAATTTGCTACACAAAAATGAGACATTATGTAACTGAAAAATTGTAAATATAATTATCCTGAAAAGGTTTCGCTTTGTTTGAATTCTGCACAAAGAAACTGTTCAATTCTACCGGGTGGATGCGAATATTTGCATTGTGATAAACACTTTTCACATGTAAGCGGTTGGGGGAGCCAAACATGTAGGTCTGTCTAGTCGACAGGAACATTCAGTTTTCAGATCTGCATTGCAGGTACATGAATTAAGGATACGGTAAACTTTCCAGGGTGTCCTTCGCGAAAAAGATTGTGGCCGCGCTAGTTAAAATGTAACTACTATAAACTATATATCAATGGTTAGGTTATGAAATGTGCTTTCCAGGCAAAATCTGTTTCGTTTTAGCTTGATCAAATCGTAAAGCGGTTAAGGTGCGACAAGTCGAAGGGGACGTTTTGATTCACCGCTTCTTGCATAAACATTCTAGTTGATTTCACTTGATTTCTCTGGAATTACTCAACGCGCTTTCGATTGTTCAAGCTCCTGGGCTTAAATTTCCCTAAACTCAATCCACGCATGGCATTGTCCTGACTCGATTGCGAGTAAATATGTAAATACGTGACCGGTGAAGCTGAGATTCTTCGATGAACCGAAAAGCTGAATGCACGTTCAGCTTTGTTGTTGCTTGGTAATTATAGCCTATACAATTTTCTAGGTACATCGGATTGAATTGTCATCTTGGGCTCTATTCTGGAAGAAAAACACTTCATGGAGTACGGAAAAAATCGAAGGATGGAGGTGAGACTCATTTCTTCTTTCCGTTATAGAGTTACATCGGAAGCGTGCGGTAAATAAAATGTATCAAGTTTTACCGAATGCTGTAATGTAAAAGCAAAGGGTATCCGGTTTTTTCGTCCAACTCTTTTCGTCAAAAGTCTTGGGTCCATTTGTCCAATATCAAGTCTCTTCGTGAAAGTTATAACATTATTTTAATGGAGTTGTAAAGAGATATATTTTATTAAATAGTGACAAAAGTAAAGACTTGTCGTTTAATTATTTCGCGCGAAAGAAATGGGAATATTAGGCTTGTCGTTAAGCGTCTATTAAGCGGAATAGACAGCTATGTGTAACATCACTAAATGTCCGACATAATCAACAACATAGTCCAACATGATAAAGAAATGATCTAGGCCTTATCTAGCCTTCTAAAAGTATTTATTTGCTTCGAGAAAAGACCTAACAATTAGATGAACAGACTTAGATGAAAAAACTTTCAGACGAAAAGACTTTTGGACGAAAAGACTTTTGGACGAAAAGACCGTAATTCCAAACTGCAACATGGAGCACATTTCGAGTACGAAATGCGATAAACGTAACCAAAACCGTGTGCATTGGTCAGATGAAAGAAAAGCTTCGAAGAATCACAGACCTCAGTACCGTAAAGTCATCTTATTGGAAAAAAAACGACCTGCCATTGCATGCTCGCGATAATTCATCGAGCCGCCATTAATTATGATAGGTATTTACAGGGAAGACCGATCTTTAGAATCTCGAGTAAACTTTTCCCTCTTCTCCGTCGGCGAACCCTCAAACATCGGACCTAAGAAAAAGTATAGGTAAAATAAAGGGTTGATGTGTACTAGCCATGTTTGTCTGCAAGATTAGGGAGAGCGCGTCACGGTCCTTCCCCAGTGTCATCGCCAGATTAGCAAAGTAATATCCTTAACGAATCTCATTGTGAAACATGTAAAACTAAAAGCTGAAACTCTGGGAAGTACGATAATTGAAAGCTATGGTGCGGAACCAGCTAAACGAACTGAGTGTTGATCGAACGGAAGAGGAAAACGAACTGCAAAACTCTTGCTCGTTAAGTGTCACCATTACAATCCGCAATCGACGATTGCCCGGCTGTTGGAAAAGTGGTCGAACGAGTTAACAAATGCTTCGTCACTGTTTGATCGATTCATATATCCAGCAGATGTACGATAGAGTTATTTATGGTTGCTGTTCTTCTTTTTCGCTCATTATGATAATGTTTGAACTTCACCTGAACACTTAAAACTCAATACCCAGCAGTTAAAAATGGGGGACTCCATAAATCCTCATAGTCGGTGTACAATGCTTCTGTGTACGCGATGAAGACTTCCAAAATATAAGTCTTGACTGTCTAGAGACTCTTTGAGGGTCACATTAGTCTCGAGAGTTCACTTACCTTATAGTCTTTTACTTCTCACTTACGTTGAAAAGGTTATTTTGTAAGAAGGATCTTCAAAAGAGTAAAAACTTAAAATGATACAGTGTAATCAATCACAAGGAAGCTTTACAAAGCTGAAACCGAAGTCTTGTTGTTGAAAAGCAGCTCGAACATAAAGCAAATGAGTTCAGTCATCGTCGGCTAAAAACGCATTTTATTGGTATGTATGCGATTCTGAAAAGCAAATGATCTGATCCTGATTGTTTGACGGTTGGCATGGATAATGCTGTCTACTGGATAAATCTCTTTCCTCTGGATAGAAATTTATCTCTTGAATGGTGTCGTGCGCCCTTTTAATAACTGCGCCTTGACTAGAACGAAAATGTATTAAATAAACGATAAAAACAACAAAGAGCATTGGTTTGCGTCAGTTTAGAAGTGACAATGCAAACTTTATCGAGTGATTAAAGGACGGGAATGATTCAGAGAGAAACAAATACTGTCGTTTGCGACTGAATATTTAATTATCAATTAAACCGTAGGCAGTAGTGTGTCCAGTTTCATTCGACCTGTGTTTTTGCCTAATCACATGCAAAATTCTTATTAGATTGATGCTTTGAAAGATTTATCGTAACGTCGACTCAGTAAGCGATCTTCGAGAGAATGGTTGTTTTTAAATCTATATGTTGAACTGAAAATTCTTAACTTCGGAAGAGAAGGAAAACCTTCTCCACTGAGCAATAAGAAGTAACTTAATGGCTAGTAAATATACTAGATAAATGGTATACCCAGCTCTTATTCGATTGCTGGTAAAAGTTTCATTTTTAAAATAGTATAAACAACTGGTTCGCATCGCAAATCTTGTCCCCCCTGACTGAGCTGCCGATTGTATTTGGCTGTTCCACTGGTCCAGCCAGTATCAGAGAAATTTCAAATACACAATTTATTGCATACCCCAGGGGATTAAAACATTCGACTACGGGTTGAGTGAGGAGTTGACTGATGAGAATGGGTTTAGAATTTTTGGAGACTACGGTTCAATTGAGTTCGAACTGTAGACAATTCCCTGCAAGGTTGCCGTGATCATGAGCAATACAACTGTGGCCTTTTCTCCCCACTTAGACTGATGAAATCTAATACACAGATTTAGGCAAGCTAAATATCAGAGCTGCTGATGTTTTTACCTTGCAGGGCTGATCAGTAAAAGTTACCCTTATTAGACAGGACCCACTCTTAAATGGGTCATTCTAAAACCTCATCGTGTTGCGAATTTCCAACACAAAAAATGAGACATTATGTAACTGATAAATTGTAAATATAATTATCCTGAAAAGGTTTCGCGTTGTTAAGTTGAATTCCTCACAAAGAAACTGCCAATTCTACTGGGTGGATGCGAATATTTGCATTGTGATAAACACTTTTCACATGTAAGCAGTTGGGGTAATCAAACACGTGGGTCTGCTTAGTCGACAGGAACATTCAGTTTTCAGGTCTATATTGCAAGTATAGTGAGGATCTGGCTAACTACAGCTTCGCAACGATGTCTATTTTGTCATCCCGTTTCCCGTATTGTTTGATTCACCGTTTCTTCTAACAAACATTCTAGTTGAATTTACTTGATTTCTCTGGAATTATTCGACGCGCTTTCGATTGGTCAAGCTTCTGGGGTCAAATTTCCCTAAACCCAATCCGCACGTAAGCTCTGGAAAGTCAATTTCCCTACGTCGAAAGATATCAACTGTGCAATATTTATCAGGGTTCGATTGCGAATAACTTTAACGACCAGCCATCAAATTGCTATTTTTAAGCGAATTTTTCTTTTCCGTCGTGGATTCAATGATGAGTAGTCTTCAAACTCGAGATAAATCTTAGCAGCTCTAAACCTGCACATGTATTTGACTCTCCATCTTTCTAAATACAAAAGCCAAATATTTTCGTCGTCACAATGATACAGCTTGTTAATTCACCTTGCATCCATAGCGTGCGAAATTTCTACAATTTCAAGAGTCTTAATGTTTTGAATTTTAGCGAATTATATCTCTTGAGCACAACAGACCAGAACTAAATTTCAAAATTGTAACTTACATTCATTCGAAGTTACTCTTTGAAAACCTCTAAACTGAGACGGTTGTGCGAAGCATTCTTTGCCTATGGCTGCGTTCTTTCCCTTCTCTCATCGTCAATACTCAGTTTCCGTTTCGTGGATAAGACCTCAAAGAAAACCACGTTCTTTCAGATGGTGAACATCTTTCACAGTCTTTATTTCCATGTACGTAATTAGTTCTTTGTTTCTGAAAGGTTAAGAATTTTTAACATAACATGGCACTTTCTTCTTCTCATCGCTTCGTTCCATTCAATAGCTAATTACATCCACCCTTCAAAATTACAGGTTTGCACCTTTACACCATAGTGGAGGACAAATCGCATAGAAAATCGGCAACTTCCATTCAGATCGTGCTTATTAGTGCTACCGTAATTTCCGGCCGTTTACCCGCACGGCCGATTACCCGCACCGGTTTATTTTTGCATACGGCGAAAAAAAAAGTCAACAGATTACCCGCACTGGTGGATAACCCGTACGGTTATTCAACTTTTTTCGGTGTCGAAAACGTGACGCTAAGGAGATGTATTTCAGTCTTTCAAAAGTTGTTTGATCTAACTTTCGAAAACTTGAAAGCTTCTTCGTCGAGTTTAAAGGTCAAAGAAATTCAGACGCGTGTACAATTCTGTCTCTATATTAGCATGTACTTTATTGATAAAAATTATAAAGCCCATGCCCAAATCTCACTGACTATCTTCAATATTCCATTGATGCGTGTGAGCTTTCATACCACTAACGGCGATTTCTCAAAATAAAACTGATGTCTCCGGTTCTACTGGGCCTAACAAGTCCCTTAAAACGGGGAAAGTTCCCTTATGCTCAAGCTAGTGTTAACTGGAAATTTGTTACTGATGCGCCGGATCTCCTTGGATTATTTTTGTCACCATGAAAGTTTTGTTTACATGCTTGCAGATAAAAATTTGTTCGTCACGCAACTAATTATGCATGAAATAAACCCGAGTCGGCTCAAATTTTCGTGCCGCTCTGTGGCACTCTTAATACAATAAAATTCATTTGAGAGGTGGAAACGCAGATTGGTGAGAATTTTTTTCAAGTCAACTACCAATAGATTTTAAAATTGTCACATAACTCGCACCTCCCTATTACCCTCAGTGACGCGAGTTTAATGCAAAATCAACAGATTACCCGCGAGAAAATTAAGGTAAATGCTTCGATGGACAGGTAGGCTTTAACAGTCGCTGTTCGGGAACCGGACCCCGTGCTCCTCCCCGGGGAGGAACGAAAAAGACCGGACCCGAGAGAGCGGCGGAAATCGAGCCAAATGGGCAGGGGGATTATGGGGTGATTTACTTGGAATGTTAGCAACGCAAAAACTTCTCATCACAGCGTTGCATACATATTATTGGTATCAGATGACTCCGTCTGATAACGGGAAAAACAGTGATGGCAATGCAAGTCCAAAACAGCAGAAATCGCCAATTTCCAACTTGTATCTGTACTCTGATGAGTCTTAGAGGGCTCTTCGTTTATCTCGTAAAAGACGCGCACAAATTAAAGGTCATTTCGAATGTCTTGATGTTGGTCTAGATCAGTCCCGTGTCAAGCAGGATGTTTTGTCTACGGACAAAATTAGCCTGCGGACATGATGGCAGCTCAACCACCTTGGCACGATGTCAAAAATTATGTTTATCGATTTTTTCTGTCGGAGGGAACTGTCGTTGTCTTCCAACTTGGAAAGGTTAAGCAAAGTAACTGCATTTCGTGTATTAGTAACGTCCACTGGCATATCTAAAAACGTAATAACTAGAAGTAATTGAAGATGATAAATTCGCAGGGCAATTAAGAAAGGATCTTGATAAATTTCTTGGGGGTCATGGCCTACCATTCCAGCACATACGCATAACAGTGGGGTGGAAATGATCCCGTAGCTCGAGTCTATATTCGTACGGAACAGATCATTATTGAGCAAAACATCTCATCGTTTAATCTGTTAGTCTGGACTGTATCTCCTTCAACTCCTCTTGCCCAGTCCCTCTCTAACATCAGACTACTGTATGGATAAAGATCACCTTGTGTTAACTCGAGAGTTTTCTCTTAGACAAAGCTAGCAACAGTTTTCACTCATTTTGTGTCTCTGTCCCTTTCGAGTGTGTCTGTGTTCAAAGAAATAAATAAAAAGTTTACAAGTAACAGGGGAACTCCCCCATTTCCATGGTGGGGATAAACATGTCACCTTTTCGTCTTTCATTGAAAAAAGTTCATCTTTAAATACTCTCAACAACAATTAGCTCTAATGTTACGCGTCAGCGAAATATCAGCTAAAGATTTTGGAGGTGATGTTGATCAATGAGATATATAATTACGATAAAAAATCTCCTCTGGATCAAATATATTTCCTTACATGGCATAAACTATTGAAAAGGGCAAGTGCCGGATTTTTTGTCCTTTTTAGTGACCATGTCAATTCCCGTCATTAATTATTCATAATCGCTTATCAGCATCTGTTTTTGCTGCCAGAGGGGCGCAGTAATGGAAGCGCTTCGATATGTTGGGGTGAAATTTCATGCTTTTGTCGGGGCTTTAGACTCAACAAGCTGCTAACCACACCCTTAATACCACTGCTGTACGCAGAGACATTGGTAATCCATCTAGTTTAGTAAACAACGGCTTAACTTTGTTTAAATATTTGGCCCTTGCGTTTAATGTAATTTCGACTGATCCCTTGAGATTTTAAGAATAAAAGTTTCCATCCAGGATATTTATCGAATACTCACGCTGATAAAGCTCTTAGGCGGAAAAAAAAGTTTACTTTAGTGCAAACTATAACAGAAGACAAAATTAAAAAGCATGGTTCACTACGTCCCCTATTTGAATACATATCCATGCAGCGTAATGCAGTATGCATTTCCTCCTAAGAATTTCACAGGTTGTAACTGCAGAATAGTGTTTTCTCTTGATATCGATCCACTCATGGTTGACCTTGCGTCATGGGATATTGGACTTTCGTTGTTGATTTCGTTAGGGAGGATTGACCTTGCGTCATGGGATATTGGACTTTCGTTGTTGATTTCGTTAGGGAGGATTGGTGAAATAAAAAAATTGTAAAAAAAAATCTAAAAATATGTCCACTAGCATATCTAAAAGCATAATAAACTACCATTACAGCACACACGGATAACAGTAGGGTGGAAAGAATTCCGTAACTCGAGTTTATATTTGTTCGGATCAGATCACTATTGAGCAAAACATTTCATCATTTAGCCTGGGTTTCGTCTTCTTTATTCGTTGCCTCTTTGACATCAAATTACTCTATGGATAATGCACGATTACTCAATAGTTTTCTCTTGGACAGAGCTAGCAAGAGTTTCCACTTATTATTGCGTCTCTTTCCCTTTCGAGTGACGGTATCTATGTTCAAAGACTGAAGTGATTAAAAGCTTTAATAGTAACAGGAGAACTCCCCCATTTCAATGGTAGGGATAAACGTGCCACCTTTTCGTTTCTCATTGAAAAAAGCTCAGCTTGAAATAATATTACTTTACTCCTTCGCGAGTGTCCTTCGGAAAAAACTCGTACGCGCGCTAGTTGAAAGAAATTCCTAACAAACTACACATAAGAAGAAAGGTGAGTAAATATGGTTTACGTTAAAAAATATAATATAAGTGATGTTTTCATTTAGGAAATGTCAGGAGCCAAAAAGGCGTGAAACGACCGAGGGTCCTTCTATTGAATTTATCGGGCATCGGATCCCGCAGCGCGAGCAAAATGGCTGCACAGTCTTATTCACAAGGCAATCAATCAACAAATGTGTCAGGCTTCATTTTCCGATATTCTGATAGGTTGTCTAGATATCCGGATCTAAAGTTAGAGAAGCCTAAAATATGCGAGACGTATTGCGTAAATGGACGCCACCGTGACATGGAAAAAAATTTAAATATCAAAATATCCCAACACTCTTTCGTTTGTCATTATCCCTGGAATCTTTCAGCGAAATTTCACGATAATTGGTTAAATCTGCATACCCTCTGAATTCGCTCAAAGTGTATGTATTCCTCTCACAATCAAATGCGAGATTTTAGCTCCAAAAGGTTTGTAAACAACCAGCGCCACATCAGGAGATTTATCTCGCCTCCTGAAATCGCAAACCAATGGAAAAGTAACTCATTACGGACATGTTTTTTTTATATCTCGATCGCTCAGTGCAGCCTTGAGGAGGACAACACAATAATAGGCAGACTAAAACCCCGCGGTAAAAATGGAAAAACCAAAAAATATGCCGAGAAGCAAGACAACGAATCGACACGGACAGCTTTCAAAATTACGATTTGAAGCGATTGTAAATGTTTTTGTATGAAGGCTGGTACTTGCATACATAAAAAGAAACCTAGTTTTAACTTAATGTACGAAAGATTTTGATTTTACCATGACTTCTTTGTTCGAAATCAGGACGCTAGCGTGGAGCGGAATCCCAGTCGCTTTCACCAATGATGTTTTTCTCTTCTTGACAGAATGGTACTCTTCTTTCTTCTTTTAGCCTATTTTTTCCTTTTTTTTTTTACCCAGGGACTTTTTTCTGCTTTTGAATTTTCCATGAGCAAAGATGTTTCCACAAGTAAAAAGCTTCCACGTGTGAATTTGTGCGCAATTAATATGAAGAGGAGCGGTTGCCGCGAAAATTCCCCTAGGGGCTCTCCCAGGTAAGAGATTATGGCACCTTCCTGATCTAGTAACTTTTATTTGAAAATGCGTTTTCCTAAATAACTGAACGCTTTTGCAGTTTTTAGATTTTTTTCGAAACGTTAGGTGAAATTTTTGACTTGAATTTAGTAAAACAAACGAAAAAAACATTTTTTTTCGGCATCTGAAGGTGGGAAGTAACCTTGAATACTCTCAACAACAACAAGTTCTAAGGTTACGCGTCAGTTAAAGATTTGGCAAAGAGCACGGCTCACTTGGAGGTGGTGTTGATCAATGAGATAATAAAAACTTCCTTTGGAGCAAATACATTTCCTTACATGGTATAAACAAACGAAAAGTTGCGTGCGATGAACCACCTGTATTGAAAAGTGCAAGTGCCGGCTTTTTTGTTCTTTACAATGACCCGTTTGAATGTTGATAAGAAACTGTCAATTCCCATCATTAACTACTCATAATCCCTTTATCAGCTTCCCGTTTTCTGCCAGAGGGGTGCAGTAATGTAACTGCTTCGATGTGGTGGTGTAAAATTTCATGCTTTTGTCGGGGCTTTTGATTCAACAAGCTGCTAACCCACCCCCTTGGTCAGGGTGTCCTTTTTAGTGACCATGTCAATTCCCGTCATTAATTATTCATAATCGCTTATCAGCATCTGTTTTTGCTGCCAGAGGGGCGCAGTAATGGAACTGCTTCGATGTGGTGGTGTAAAATTTCATGCTTTTGTCGGGGCTTTTGATTCAACAAGCTGCTAACCCACCCCCTTGGTCAGGGTGTTGGTACCAATTATTTTAACATTTGGTAACACTGGATTACGACAATGTTACCGCTGTACGCAGTAACATTGGTAATCCATCCAGTCTAGTTCCCAAATTGAGTTTAACTACTCGACACTTCGCTGGTGGATTTTTAAAGATCCAGCAAAGATTACTTCAAGATAAATGAAATTGTTCAGTTGTCTTTCGTCCTATGTTTCACTTGTTTAGTCTGCCCAAGTTTTCGAGTTGGGTCAACAATCCCCTTCAAGGGAAAATGTTTTTGTTTTTAGAAGTTTTTTTCGCTTGAAATAGATTGCATTGCTTATCTTTGTTAGACCTGGACACACTAACTCGCAGGAAATAATAGTGTCTCAGTTTTTCTTATCGTTATCAGTTTCGTATGGTTAAAAGTTGTTGCAAGCAATCTTGCTCGTCATTTCTACTGTCCTGTCGGAGAAACGCAGTGAAGGGGAGAGCAGTATCAACAAGATGTATCCTTCAGCTAGCTTTCTGATGTTTTTCGCTGCGACAACAACTTTCCTTGTACACGCTAAATTTGTGACTAAGGAAAATATCGAGCCTGAAAACATTCTTTTCGAGAAAAACGCGCGCGTTGAAGATGAAATGTTGGAAACCATCTACAAGGAGCACCATGGACAGCCCCACGGTTTCGTATGTCTTAAAGGAAACGGTAATTGTTCATTTTCTTTTTACTTCTATGGACTCTTTTGAAAATATTTTCCCACGCATTCTTGTGTCTTTCATAGCATTAACCGTGTTTGACGAGCTACCCTCAAAAACACAAGTATGGGTAATACTTTTTTCTTTGGTTTTTCAGCTACTCGCGATTCCAACGTCGTTCGTTTCGACCTCCGCCATTATCATAGACGAGCTGACAAGCTAGACCGCACTAAGGCTATGATATATCTGGAAATGATCAACCCAGCTCCCTATGGGCATCCATTTTTCTTGTCTTTTTACGATGCGATGACCAAGAAGATGGTTGCTCAGGCCAGAGCGATTCCAGGTTTTACCCGAAACGTAATCGTGTTGGACGTTACGGAAATCGCGCGCCACTGGCTTCAACACCCTGAAAGCGACCATAGTTTCAAAGCAGTCTACCAGACGGCCGATCCTACAAAGTTCCCCAGGGAAAACACCATTAGAAAGTTTGCCCTACCGCTGATGGTGATTATTAGAGAAGATCACTTAGTATCCGACCTCCATGCTGAAAGGTGTGTTAGTTAAATCAATTTCCCCTCACGTTGAAGGCAACGGTCCATTGGTAGGCTGGAAAAAATCCTCTTTTAAAAGTGCCCATCGGTTCGACTCGTCAAAGTGGAATAGCTTTGATTTGATATGTTTTGTTCTATCTTGCTCTTGTTTTAATCCATTAACATCTTAAAATCCAAAATTTAAGTTGAGTACACTTGTATTGGAGATTATTAGAAGCCCCACCCAGACTTGTTTATCTCTTCAAGTTTTTCTTCAAAAATAACATTTTTGACTAAAATAACTATTTCATTGTTTTGCAGAAACCGACGTTCATCAGAGCAGCAAATCGTATCCCGTTCTACTGCTCAGAAGCTGGCTTGCTCAAGACGAGATTTTCACATCGAGACCCGTCAATTTCCTGATGGGATGATACTCCAGCCAATCACCTTCAATGCCTACGACTGAGACGGCAAATGCGATTCTCCCTTAAGTGGTGGACCTCGCCGTTTCACGAACCATGGTTACCTTAAGTACCTATATTACCTAGCCAAAAACAACAGTAAGGCTGAAGAGTACTGCTGTGTGCCATCCGCCTTCAAGAGCCTGCATATCCTAAAGGTGCACGAAACTACTGGGAATTTTGTTCTGCAGGAATTCAAAGACTTTATAGTCACTGAATGCACCTGCGTGTTCAAAAGCTCCTTTAAAACCGTAGCTTGATTTTGTAGTGGGCGATCATAACACTTGGTTCAAAAATGTCAACTGTTAGATAGAACACAATTAATTTCGCATAATTACCCCTTTTTGGACTTTTTCCTGATGTTTTAACAAGTTTGCCTTTCATGAACGTTTTTATTATAGAATCAAATTATCGATAAGTTTGATTTTTACGAATTGCTGTGGTAGTGTAATGCATGAAAAGGTTGACTCCTATATAATTGTAAGTTTTGCAAAGACCCAATAAAGTGAAATCGAGGAAGAGCTGGACTTGTTTTTGTTATGTTTGTTTGATGTTCTTTGTTTAGCTTTGTGTGACATGATTCTGATGATGACTTCCGCCAAGTTTGTCGCGAAGTCAGTCACTATTTCAACTGTGAAATGTTCAGCAAGCAACCGTGGA